GAGAAGGCATTGATTTAACAAAATAAACAAAGATGTGCAATTACAATGTCCTTTACATTCCCACAAGTGTTTCAAAGCATTTTACAGCCAGCAAAATACTTCTTGAAGTGCAATAATTGTTGTAATGTAAGAAACGGGACAACCAACTTGCACACTGCAAACTTCCACTAATGGTAGGGAGGAATAAATTTTGGTCTGGAAACTGGGTATAACTCCCCTGCTGTTTTCCAAAACACCATCAAAGGTTCATTTACATTCAGCTACGCAAGCATCTGGGAGCAAACGAACACAGAAATTGCTGGAGAAACTCAGCAGATCTGTGTAGAGCCAAAGCTTTGAATCCAGTCACCTTCTTCAGAACACTGGACTCAAAAGATGAACTCTATTTTCTCTTCACAGATACTGCCAGATCTGCTGGTTTTCTCCAGCAATTTCTGTTTTTGTTTGTTTCAGATTTCCAGTATTCATAGTTTCTTGTTTTATTCAAGCATCTGGGGCCTCAGTTTACACTCCAGTGTTAGCATCAATGTTGTGCTTAAGTATTTGATATTTCCAGATTTAGTCTTACAGTACTGAATTTGTGTGGTCAATGTGAATGTGAATCCACAGCTTCACCTGCTTTTGTGAAATGTTGGTTTATTTGAGGTGTGACTCTGAGAAAACAATATCATTTTTTATATATAGCAAATGCTGACACATCTCCAATCAAAAAGAGAAGTGATTAGATCATTCTAGGTTCATGATTCAAAGTTAATTACAAGAAATCAGGAGTTTCCACTTCCTAAATATCTGGCTTTTCAATGTTTTGAAAGGAGGTTCAGCAAGTTGACCGCAATGGTGAAGGGAAACCTGAGGAATTTTCAATTTGATAGCAATGCTCCAATCTCTACAGGATTCCCATTCTCAAGTGATTTCAAGTTAATAAAGATATTAACATTTCAGTCTTTGACTTGTGTGTGCTAAATTAAATGTTCAAGGACTTTGATGACTTTATATATCACTCACAACCATTTTGCATCTTGAACGTCTCTTTACCATTATTAATACTTCCTTTTTGCTCTGGGCACTTCACCATCTGCCTCACTTACTCTGTCTCCCCTTTGTCTACAGCATAAAAAGCATGTTTCAGTTCCCTTCAGTTCTGAAGAAGTCATCTGACTTGAAACATTAACTCTGATTCTCTTTCCACAGATGCTGCCAGTCCTGCTTTATCCAGGCCAATCATTCTGGCCAGTGACTTCAATGGCATCATTGATGCCCATGGATGATCTGGAAGGGCTGGCAGCAAACTGGACACCATGCCAAGATAAAGACATCAAGCTTCACAATGCTTTCAGTACCACTACAGACGGAGCGCAGCATTGTTTCACCTGGTCATGCCCAAGCAGGTGTATCCGTTCAAGGAAAGAATTCCCGTTTGTGTCACAAGTGTTCTTGGTCAGACCCATTGACATCAAGCTGATGTTCTTTTCTGACCACTGCCTTCTGCTGGTCCAACAGTCACCTACATGATGACCAACAAGCCAGCAAGAGAACGTGGAAACTGAATGTGAAACTGTTGACCCCAGAACACGTTAAGGAGCTCCAAAGGGATTATACAGTTCGGGGATGATGAGAAACAGTCGAGGGGAATATCAAGAAATTCTTTACTCTCAAAGGCGTTTAGAAAGGGAGAGAGACAAAGAGACAGGGCAAACTGTCCAAACTCCAGAAAAGCATGCAGAATCTACTCCTGTTGCAGGCAATGGAGGTCAATGTCACAGAGGATCACCAGGAGGTGAAGGGCTGGCAAGCCTCACTCTTTTCCTCGGAGGTCTATAAGATAATCTTCCACTTCACCAAGGTCTGCACTGTGGAGCAGGATGAGATGTATTCATGTTTCTTCTTCCAGAATGTACACAGGGAGAGCTCTGTGATCAGCAGCTTGCTGAAACCTGTTGGTCTTCCAGTGCAAGGAGCTGACCTTGACTGGGTGTTGCAGACTGGCACATTCCAAGGTCAAGGACTACATGCTGAGGAATGCACTAATGCTTGGAGCAGGTCTTTTGACCAAAGTACAAGGGGAGGCCTGTTCAGTTATCGGACCCTCCCAGTGACTCCAAAATATGGAGTATCTTGCAAAAGTAAAAAATGACTTTGGGTTTTTTTTTGTTCTCCACAAGCAAAGACTGTATAGAATTGAACTCTCCATCAATGTCAGCAAAATGAAGGAGTTGGTCATTGACTTCAGGAAACGGAGTGGAGGGCACACCCCTTTCTCTATCAATGGTGCTGAGGTGGAGATGGTTGGGAGCATCATGTTCCTGGGAGTAATGATCGTCAACAGTCTGTCCTGGTCCACCCACATTGCTGATAATGTCAAGAAAGCACTGCAATGCGTCTACTTCCTCAAAAGACTAAGGAAATTCAGCATGTCCATAAAGACCGTTAACAATTTTTATAGATGCACCAGAGGAAGCATTCTATCTGGATGCATCACAGCTTGGTAGGACAACTGCTCTGCCCAAGACTGCATGAGATTACAGAAAGTTGTGAACACAGCCCAGATCATCATGCAAACCAGCCTTCCATCCATTAACTCCATCCCGCTGCCTCAGGAAGGCAGCCAACATAATCAAAAACCCCTCCCACCTTGGTTGTACTGTCTTATTTCCTCTTCCGTCTGGAGATTTAAACACACATACCAACAGATTTAGAACACCTTAATCCCCACTGTTATCAGACTTCTGAATGGATCTCTCAAACCCTGATGCACTTTGTATGGTATGATCCCTCTGTATAGCACGCAAGACAATACTTTTCACTGAATCTCAGTACCTGTGACAATAATGAATCAAATGTATGTACATAATTTATTATAATGAATAAAGTGTATTTTTGAAATAAAAATAGTTTCTCCAGGGGTCTCTGTATTTCAGATTCCCAGCATCTGCAGTATTTGGCTTTTATCTCTTTTTTTACTTCATCAGAGTTGGTCAACTGACTTGACGACTTAAGTAGAAATGTTACCAACAGACTGAGGGACCGAATCATGTTTAGGCATAACAAGGTGTAGAGCTGGATGAACACAGCAGGCCAAGCAGCATCAGAGGAGTCGGAAGGCTGACGTTTCGGGCCTGAAACATCACCCTTCCGGCTCCTCTGATGCTGCTTGACCTGCTGTGTTCATGCAGCTCTACACCTTGTTATCTCGGATTCTCCAGCATCTGCAGTTCCCACTATCACCGAATCATGTTTGACAGGTTATGAGCAAATCTCGACCCACATATATTTTGAGAGGAACTTTCAAAATTAATTGAGTTAAGTCAGTGCAGGATGAATATGAATAAAAGCAAACGTTCTGAAGAAGAGTCGTTCTAGACTCAAAAGTTAACGCTGCTTTTCATTCCACAGACTTTCTGAGTTTCTCCCGCACTTTTGTGAGTTTGTTTCAGGATGTATGTGACTTGCGCAATACAGCCCCAGCGATCGTTGTAGTTCACAGGTACAGCGCACAGGATACATTTCTTGAAATGAGAACCCTGTCAATTGTAAAGACTGGAATTTCCCCTGTTTTTCCGTCCGGACAGATTGACTTTAACAGGGACAAAAGCCAGTTTTGCTTTGCAGCTGCCCACAATTGATTTGCATGAAGTGATGTTCCGAAAGTGCGAAATGAAAGTGAATTCGCCATTTACTGAGAAAACGAAACTTACAGAGTGATATAGTCAGTGAGCGAGAAAAGTGCGATAGGACTCGGTGCGGAGATGCGAACTGCAACTTCGTCAAGTGGTTTGTAACGGTGACACTGGACTTGCTGCAGCCATGGGTAGGTAGGGTTTTTTTTCCCTTATAAGTGATGAAAACAGAAAGTGTTGGAGAAACTCAGCAGGTCTGGCAGTATCTGCGGAAAGTTGCGAGTCCGGTGTGATGTTGTCACAAATGCTGCCAGAGTTTCTCCAGAACTTCTTTTTCTGGATTTCAAATGCTAGAATCCCTACAAAGGGGAAAAAGCCATTCGGCCCATCGAGTCCACACTGCATCTTTGAAGAGCATCCAGACGCACTCTCCTACCCGATTCCTGTAACCCTGCATTTCCCGTGGCCAATCTACCTAATCAATCTTCGGTAGACGAACAGGAAAGACTGGAAAAACACAGCAAACAAGGCAGCATCTGGAGAAGGAGGAGAAATCAACGTTTGTGAAGAAGGGTAATACCGGGAACGTTGACTTCTTCTCCTCCTCCAGATCCTGCCCGGCTTGCTGTGTTTTTCCAGCATCCTGTATGCCTGCCTTGGATTCTAGCATCTTCAGTTTTTTTTTCCCCTCTAATCCATGTTTGGTCTGCGGGAGAAAACCGGAGCACCTGGAGGAAACCCACGTAGATAAGGGGAGAACATACAAACTCCACACACAGTCTCACCCGACGGTGGCATCGAACCCAGCCTCCGGGCGCTGTGAGGCATCATGCCACCTAAGCATCCGCAGCATTTTGCTTTTATTTTAAAGCTTTTGAAATATTTTGCACGAACAATTTACTCGCAAAGCGAAGCTAATAACGGGCAAGAGATAGTAGGAACTGCAGATGCTGGAGAATCTGAGATAACAAGGTGTAGAGCTGGATGAACACAGCAGACCAAGCAGCACCAGAGGAGCAGGAAGGCTGACGTTTCGGGTCTAGGCCCGAAACGTCAGCCTTCCTGCTGCTTGGCTTGCTCTGTTCATCCAGCTCTACACCTTGTTATCTCTAATAATGGGCAAACCTGCCGTGACCAGGCTCTGGGAGAAGAATTCATTCACAAGAATTCCCCATGCCATTCCGGTTGCGGCGCTTGTGCGCCTGCGTGGTCACGGCACTTTCCGCGCTTTCTCATATGATCCCGGCTACTCCGCGCCTGCGCGGCACGCTCCGTAGGTTTTTGTTCGACTGCCGGGTGGGCGGCAGATCACCGCGCATTGCGTATCACTCCACCCCCGGGCGGGCGAGCACTGTGAAGGTGTGTAGCCCAGCCATTCCGCGCCTGCGCCCTGCGTAGCGCTCACTCCTTTCGGGGTGAGGAATGCGCAGATTTGTAGTCAGGGCTGGTTTGCGCACGTTTGCGTGAGCACCTCTTTCGTCTGCTGCACCTCCCGACGGCTCAGTATCTTTCTGAGAGTCTTGTTATTTGTCGTGGTTATTTGGGGTGTGTCTGTCAGACAGATTTCTCCGGGCTGATGTTTCCCCCTCATCCCGGTGGCGGATTAAGGTGGATAGGTAGTCCGGCCTCAGGCTCATGAGCGGTTTCCGGCTGCAATAGTTTCTAAACTGAGCAAGGCCCTCCCTCTCCCTCCATCGTAAACACGCGCTGCGCTCATGCAGAGAGAACGACATTAGTAAATAAATAGCGCATTCATTCGGGTATTCTTTGAAAGGGGGAATCAGTGCTCGGCGAGTAGTGTCAATGTGACAGGAATCCTCCTGCTGAAGGCCGGTGTTATTTCGGGATGAGGCTGGAGTTCTTGTTGGTTCTCACCCTTTGCTTTTGCGCCTGATGGAGGAATGGATACCGAACGGGTGAAGATGAAATGTCACAGTTGTGGCCACATTACTAAAGAGAAAGCTCCCAAATTCTGCAGCCAATGTGGAACCAGACTGGTAGAAAGCATTGTGGAGGCTGGTAAGGATTGAGAAAGGGAGCAGTTTGATTGATAGCTGATGAAATGGAGTTATTTTGGTCCAGTTATTGCTTATTTACAAATGCCTCCATGCCGGCATCTGACATCTCTAATTTCACTAAAGATCTCCACCAATCTCCTCACTTCAAGTACTCCTTAAATGGCCTCCCGGATTATGTTGTAATGTGTTAACATAGAAAACATGGAAAATAGGAGCAGGCATAGGCCATTCAGCCCTTGAGTCTGCTGTTCCATTCACTAGTTTCACAGCTAATCATCCAACTCAGTACCCACTTCCTGCTTTCTCCCCACACCCTTTGATCCCTTAAGCCTTAAGAACTACATCTAACTCCTTCAAAGCATTCAAAACTTTGTGGCAGAGAATTTGTTAGGATTACTGCTCTCTGGGTGATGAAATTTCTTTGACTCAGTCCTACATGGCCTACCCCTGTTCTTAGAATGTGACTCCTGGTCTGGATTCCCCAGTCACTGGGGATGTCCTTCTTGCATTTACCCTGCTAGAATTTTTATAGGTTTCTATGAGATTCTTCCTTAATCACTTAAACTTCAGTGAATATAGTCCTAATTGATCCAGTCTGTTTTCATTTGTCCGTCCTACTTTCCCAGGAATTGTTGTATTCCCTTCATAGCAGGAATGTCCCTAGATAAGGTGACCAGAACTGCACACAATACTCCAGATGTAGTCTCACCAAGGCCCTGTATAATTGCAGCAAGGCATCCCTATTCCTGTACTCAAATCCTCTTGCTATGAAGGCCAACATACCATTTAGAAAAAAAAAACCGAACTGCGGATGCTGGCGATCTGAAACCAACAAGAACAGAAATTGCTGGAGGAATTCAGTCGGTGTGCGGTATCTGTGGAGAAAAAAAGAAGTTAACTTTGAGTCCAGTGATCCTAATTCAGAACTCCCTTAGTAGTTTTGAAGAAGTTTTAGTGATCTTGAAACAATAAATCTGTTTTCTGCCCATAGATGTTGCTGGGCTTCTCTTGCATTTAATGTTTGTTCCGGCATTCCACTTGCCGCCTTTACCACCTGCTGCGCACAAATTCTCTCCTTCAGTTATAAGGGCACCCAGGTCTCATTGCACCTCTCCCTTTCCCAATCTATTCCCATGCAGATAATATTCTGTCTACATTTTTGCTGCAAAAATGTGATAACTTGATGTTCATCCACATTATACTTCATCTACCATCCATTTGCTCACTCATTCAACTGGTCCAAATCACACTGCATCTGTGTATCCCCATAATTCGACTCCCTCATCCAGCTTTGTGTCATTTGCAAACCTGGAGACATTACATACACTTCCCTCATCTAAATCATTAATGTGAATAACTATGGTCCAAGCTGACCCCTCTGTTATCTCTCATCGTTGATTGCCACTTGTAAAATGATCATTCATTCCTACTGTTTGTTTTCTGCCTGCCAAGCAGTTCTCTATCCATATCAGTACACTACCCTAATCCCATACACTTTAATTTTACATGCTAATCTTTTATGTGGGACTTTGTCGAAAGCCTTCTTTTGCAATTTCAAATTTGGGTTTGTATCTGTCTCTGTCTCTCTCTGTCTGGTGTGATGGCATCTTCAAGTATCAGAATTAGGCCACAATGGTTAAAAATTTGGGAAGCACAGACCTACACCTCTAGCCAATTTATTCACAATCTATCTTACTGTTGCCTTCTGTGGCTTTGTGGAAAATCTTGCTTTATAACATACCCGTGAAATGTCTTGGGAAGTGTTGTATTAAAGTTGTAATGTGAATGTGAGTTATTGTTGTTAATTGACCTCTTTCTTCCCTATGATCCTCCAAGATATCTGCAACTATTGCACATTCTTGATTTGAACCATTATACCATTAGTAACCATGCTTTCAGCTGCCCTGCCTTAACTTCTGGAAATCTCTTCCATCCAGCACTGTTAAAATATACCTCTGACCAAGCTTTTGATCATTTGTCCTATATCTTCTTATGCAGCTCTGTCAAATTTTGCTTTACAATGCATCTATGAGTTGCCTTGAGTCAATAATGCTAATAAAGCAGCATAATTAAGTTATTGTTGACTTGGACATGCTTAATTTTATTACAGTGAAAAGAGGTTTAAAAAGCTGCTTTGCTGAAACAAAGCATCTGTAGTTTATTTTGCGATAATGGTTCTAAGTAAAACTACCCCTTGGCAGCATTAACACATTCATTTGGGATAAAAGAAGATATTGTACATTATGAAAATTGGGGGAAAAAAATCCCTGAAAATCCTGACATCATCTGTGGAGAGAAAAAAAGTCAAGCTTTCAAGTCTGTGATCTTTCATCATAATTGGGATAAGTTAGAAATCTGTTGGGGCAGGTGTTGCTGAGCAGTGATCTCTGGCCTTGCCAGTGACATTCATCTTATTGTGAAATTGGGTAGAATACTTGTGGATTGGGAGACAGGAAGTTAGAATTTGTTGTTGTAAAATGCTAGGGGCGGGGGAAGCATTACGTGGTCCCTTTAAAAGATCATCTGCTTTTCTGCGCATAGAGATTTAAAATGGATGTCTGTGAGCAGCTGTTTGAGAGTTTGCAAGTACACAGAGAGCACCTGAATTGAAACATTTTGTATTGAAAATCCAGTTAGCAGGCCAATCAGCAGGTTTTACCGAGATAGCAGCTTTTGAATTTAGCTAATCAATTTGAACCAGGCACTTAGTTACCAAAAACCTATTAAATTTAAGTCTGAGATCATAAGAACTGCTGATGCTGGAGTCAGAGATAACACAGTGTGAAGCTGGAGGAGCCAGCAGGCCAGGGACCCTTCTTCAGCAATGGTTCCGATCCTGCTCCTGTGATCTGCCTGGCCTGCTGTGCTCCTCCAGCTCTACACTCTGTTATCTCTTAAATTTAAGTCTGATAGTTTTGACAACATAGGACCAATCCTATTCTAAGAAATATTGATATATCATCAAGGGTGTAAAAGAAGGGGGCAGTTGGACAAAGACCCCACAGCTAGCTGCCATCTGCCAGAGCTAACGGCCCTCCGCTCTCGAGAGAATCACTGGCTGTCACAGCTTCTTCTATGTCTTAGAGAAAGCGCCATCTAAATAACAATGGCACCAATGGCACAGCTAGTTGAATATTTACGATAGAAGAATTGACGGAGAAAGCACAGAACATTCCGGGAGAAACGTAATCTGGCTGTAATTTCGAGAGACTAAATTTATTTTTATTATATATAGGTGAGATTTGTATTTATTGGAACATCGTACCATTAGAATCTTGCTTTATTGGGAATAGTTAGTAGTTAGGGATTTATTTGGTTTGTGCCAGCACCTCAGCAGCTCACCGCCACCTTCTCAAGGGCAGCTAGGGATGGGCAAGAAATGCTGGCCAGCCAGCGACGCCCACATCCCACAAAACAAATAGAAAAAAAAATTGCCCTCAACTCCCTGATTATTTTTTAAAAATCGACCTTCTCTTTAAATACTTTCAATGATCTGGTGCTCAAAGGGGGTGAAATTCCTTCACACCTCAATTTTAAAAGAGTGCCTCCTTATTCTGTGATTATGTCCCCTAGTTTGAGATTCCCCAGTAGTGGAAATATTTTCCCAAAATCTATTGTACAAGTTCTCTCAAACCTTGCCTGTTTAAATAAGGTTACCCATCATTCTTAGGAAATCCAATTAATAAAGGCCTAGCCTGTTTAGCCATTCTTAATAAAACAGCCCTGGAATCATCCTAGTGAATCTCTTTTGAACTATGATCTATGCCTCCAATGTTAAATTTGGAAAGTCTCTTGCATTATAAATCTACTTTTTTGATAAGACTTCCTCAAACTTAAATCTCACTTCACCTTTACAATTTGGTCTTTTTCCTACAGTCATAGAATCCCTACTGCATAGAAGCAGGCCATTCTGTCCATCAAGTCCATGCTGATCCTCTGAAGAGCATTCCACCTGGACCTTCCCTATCCCCTAACCCCCTATTTACCATGGCCAATCCACCTAACCTACACATCTTTGGATTGTGGGAGGAAACTGGTGCACCTGGAGGAAACCCACGCAGACATGGGGAGAATGTGCAAACTCCACACAGCTTAGTCACTGAGCCACTGTGCCGCCCCAGTTTTACTTTGAGTAACTATATTGCCCCTGTTTTTGTGAACAAAAAAAACAATAAATAGAAATAAGAAACAAGATAACCAGTCTTGTCCATGATGCACTCTTAATTCACAACAAATTCAGTATAGTGAGAAAATGCAACATTGTACTATATTTTCTTAAATTTCTTTTTAACAGATTCTAGTTCTAATAGAGCAAATTAAACAAAATCTTTCAAAACTCAATGTCACAGCAAGCCAGTGTGAATACCAAGAACAAGGAACAACTCTGGTTGACAGAATCGTCAAGTCTTTCTCTGGTAGTAACCAGTCATTTTAAAGTTGAGTCTGTCCTAGCACAGACAAACATTATTTATTGTTGTAAAGATAGATTCAGAATTTGGTCTTTCAGCTACTCTGTTAAACTTAGGAATAATTGTCATTTGTAGTCAAAGTATATCCCATTCAGCACTGCTGTTATTTATCTCTTAGGATTTGGATGCCAGCCACTTGATAGGTGGCTTTGTTTAGCAAGTTAATGAATTTGTTGGCATCTTGAAAATCTTCCAAGACTTTGATTCATTGGGCCAATGCCATGAACAGTTTACTGCTGCGTATTAAAAGTCTTTTATCACCTGGTGTTTCCATGGTGTCATTTTGTTTACAATGCTCTTGTGGAGCCCTTTGGGAAATTGCATTACATTAAAAGTGCTAGATGAAAACAAGATTTTGTTGTGTTGTGTATTTGCTTATGTCCTCTAATAATCATTGCTACTTCTGTTTCTCTTCATTCTGCCACACTATGTTGTCACATAATATTTTCAGCACAGAAACAAGCCATTGTGTGAACTCAGTTGACCCATTAATATACCCTTTTGTGTTTTTCCCTGATGTGTCTATCTGACT